TAAGTTAGGGTCTCCAATAAGATATAATTCTTAGCATATTTGTCGCGAAAATGTTCAAAGTTATATATACCGACTTTTGTAGGAGCTGGTTTAACAGGCGCTTCAGCTTTATTTACTTGTTAAAAGGGTGGCAAATAGTCAGGGGAGTTTCAGTAAATTCAAATCGGAACAAAGAATTCTTCTTTTAAAGTCAATACCTTAGGAGTTTAAAGCAATTTATGGGAATTTCAAACTAATTAGAATAGCCTTTCTTGGAAACTAATGAAAACGGAGATTGGACGCCACAAGCTCTTCCTCTATAGGTCTTACTTCATCAGCCCTTCTGGAGAGACTTAAATTTGTCTGTTTGTGATCCCCAGTTAGACAAGTCATCCATACAGCATGGAAATGTTCTAGGTGACTCAGGCCCCGGTGTATCTTTGCTCTTCATATAGTTCGCCAGTTTTGAGGTACGTCCAATTTAGATAATCAAACTGTATTCTTTTTGGAGATATGAAGACCAAGATGTTGTGGCCTCTGGTTTGGTCGCAGTCTCCTTTCGATTTATAGAAGTGGGTTGACCTCGTTGTCGCAACTTGGTCTTGTAGTCAGGGTGACTATGTAGAATACACCTATTCCGAAGTCGTCTGCCATAGTAGTTGTCATGATTCCCAGCATCTGACAGTGGACTTGATACATTCTCAAATGTGTTCGCCGGCATCGTAGTCGGCATCATCAGTGAGTTTTGCCATTCGCCGCACCAAGCTACGAACTCGTCATTCGTCTGCCATAGTAGTTGTCATGATTCCCAGCATCAGACAGTGGACTTGGTACATTCTCAAACGTTTCGTCGACTACCATAGTAGTTGTCATAATTCCCAGCATCAGACAGTGGACTTGGTACATTCTCAAACGTTTCGCCGGCATGCCGAATAGTTGTCATGATTCCCAGCATCTGACAGTGGACGTCGTCTGCTATAGTAGTTGTCATGATTCCCAGCATCTGACAGTGGACTTGATACATTCTCAAACGTTTCGCCGGCATCGCGAAGTCGTCTGCCGTAGTAGTTGTCTTGATTCCTAGCATCCGACCGTGGACTTGATACATTCTCAGACGTTTCGCCGGCCTCGTGTCTGCCATAGTAGTTGTCTTGATTCCTAGCATCTGACCGTGGACTTGATACATTCTCAGACGTTTCGCCGGCATCGTAGTAGGCATCATCAGTGAGCTTTGCCATTCTCCGCACCAAGCTACGAACTCGTCAAAGCAAAACTCACTGATGATGTCAACTATGATACCGGCGAAACGTTTGAGAATGTATCAAGTCCAATGTCAGATGCTGGGAATCATGACAACTACTATGGCAG